ATGTAAATGCACTGCATAGAAAATGTTATTGTGCTTATTTTATAGTTTGCCTTTATTTTTTTCTTGCACAGCTGTAGTGTATGGTATTTCCCAATGCAGTGTGTACCTGTCTTCAGGATTGCAAATTGTATTGTCATTTCTGAAATGTGAAAAACAATTATATATTTCCTTATTTTTCAAGTGTTGATGTCAATTATGATCTAAGGTATACTGGATGTGTTTGTGCATGTGCACACATTCATGTTCTAAAATAGCTGACTATTTCATTGTTGTGTTCACTATGTGTGCATGGAAGTCAAGTTATTATCAGGAGCACTCTTTTTAGCTTTTATAATAAAAGCTGAATCAGAGGCTGAAAACACTGACACATCTGGAATTTAAGAGCATTTCCAGAGACTGACAATTAATGGTACTCAATCAACCCTGCACCTCATCACTGATGGCTGATTAGAGTTTAGCTAATGAGAAGGTATTCAGGGAACAGTCAGGGATTTTTTATTCAGTTTGGTTGGGGATCTCTATGGGTTTAAATCTGAGCTGATATCCACAAAATGGTCCAGAAGAATCCATGTAAATAGTCAGACTATTCTCTGCTGTCAGTAGTTTTGTAGATCAGGGATCATTGCTTTAAAAGTTTATAAAGCTATATTGCTCTCTGTGTTTCTAAAGTATCTAAAATAAAGTGTCCTGGCCTCCCAGTAGCTCTGACCGGGAAATGGTGATTAGCAGAAGGGGACTGTTCTGGTCTGTGCCTGGCAGTGCTCACCCATACTAACAGGTCAGCTTATTGGGTGTTTGCTGAGACACTACCATTGGATCCAGATTCGTCTGGAGGGTATCCAGGGAAAAGACAAGAGGCAATGGGCACAAACTGGAACACAGGAAATTTCATTTAAGTATAAGAAAAAACCTGCAAGGGAGACTGAATACTGGACCAAGTTCCTCAGAGAGGTGTAGTCTCTGTCTTTGGGGATATTCAAATCCTGACTAGATACAGCCTTGGGTAGCCTGCCCTAGCTGACCCTTCTCAGAGCTGGGAGGTTGGACAACGAGACATGCCTTCCAATCTCAGCAAGTCCGTGGCTCTTGCTTAATTGGGACCTAACTGGTTATGTCCGGACTTCCTTAACAGAGCAGGCTGGGGAATACCACTGTATGTGTGTTTGCAAGCAAAGGTCTGAACAGAGATGATGGTTTGTTTGCCAGTGTGCTTGGTGCACTCACCATCAACACCCCGGAAGGCACACCTGGGGCTGGGCTTGCAGGTTCACCTCTGAACAGCCTTTAGGTCTGGTCTAAGGGCTGCCACTAGGCAACTCGGCCATAACTAGTGTCATTGAGCCCTTTTTTTCCTGAACTACAGTGGTGGTATCGTGACATAGGATTAAGCAGACAGCTAATATCCTCAGTTCTTGCAGTTCTTTCCCAGTGGAGTTGTAGAAAGGGTCATCTGATAATCAGTGAGTACAAAGAGCTTGATAATTCCATGTGCTTCTCTGCCAGGATGTTGATGATAACTGACTTACATTTTGTAGGTGTGCAGTGCAATCCAAAATCAAGATTTCACTATTATTGAGGACTACTGCACTGGGCTGCAAGCTCTTCTTTACCTGAAAAGCATTGAGGAACTTGAAGACTGGAATGGACAGAGTCCTGCAACCATGCGCCACCAGAAAGGAAAACCAGTACCTAGAATTGCTGACTTGATGGGAAAGGTATGTTGTTCCATTGACATTCTTGACTCTATGTCTTGGCTTTGAATGTGATTCCATAATCATTGTATGCAGTTTCTGCTACTTACCTTGATTAATCACTGCTGCTGTCACAATTAGTCACCAGGTCTTTTTCCTTCTGAGTATTAACAAATATCTGAAAGCAGCTTAAGAAGGCAAACTTGAAATGACTTGATATGGGCTAACATGTTTACTATAAATGTGATCACTTGATTCATAACATCATGTCTTTAAAATGTCTTTTTAAACAGGCAAATGCATTAGAACAAGTTCTGGAACTGTTTGTTTTAATGAAACTCAACTCAGTTCAGATTGATATTAATATTGTGCCAGAAATTCCTGGGTGTTCCAGCTGGAGTGCAACATTCAGGAGACATGCAAAACCCCCCTCACACTGGATCTGACCAGCTGAGGCAGGTGTAATCTGTTAGTTGGAACACTAGATCAGGTAGGAGTGGCCCTTCAGTCACTGTACTTAAGCATCTCAAGGTCTTTCATGTCTGCTGACACCCAAATGCTCTCTGAGGCAGAGAAGTTCCAGGTGAAGATCAGTGACACCAAAGGAGTTAATAAATTCCACAATATCATTTAAACCTAGAAAGTCTGTGATGAAATAGGAATGTAAACTATGGTCTCTATGAAATCCTGTCCTCTGGACTGTCTTTCCTCTCTGCTCCGGTAGTTCCCTGCTACAAAAGCATTTTTGTCAGATGCAGTGGGTTTCAGCTGCCCCAGTACTGCTCATCCCTCCACCAGGGCACCTGCTGATCCATGCTGAGAAGCAGGGAAGTGTAACTGGCTTCCTAGTGATGCCCCACTGCCTACTGCTCTAAGCAAAATACCTGCACAGCAGGGAGGCTGAGCTTTTGTTTCTGGTTACTAGAGGGGATCACTTTGAAGACTGATTTCAGTTATACATCATGCCTATTGATTATCCTTCCCAAAAATCTGATATACGCCTGTTGAAAATGTTGTAAAAAGTAAAGAATTACAAAAGAATAGGATTTGGAGTGTCAAACGCCTCCAAATCTCTGCTTATCATTGCTGATGACTGGAATTGGATTTAGCAGGAGATTAGAGACTCCTATATTGTTGTTGTTCTCTGTGGAGCTCTGAAAATTATAACATTACCTTCAAGGAGGAAAGACAATCCTATTCCTAAAGCTCTGGATAATACGCTGCTTAAAAATAAACCAAGATATAAGCAGTTTCATTTTCATCCACTTATGTTAAGCAGTTAAACCAGGCTCAAAGGGTTATATCTAAACTTCTTTCCTTTAACACTTGTAGAAACCTGCACAGCATTTCCAACTCATGTTACAGAGATTTGTTGTAATTCTTCTTTAAAGCTGCATTCAGTGTTCTATCTTTGTATTACCTTTGTATTTTACCAAACAGACAACTGTTGTCAAAGACAAGGAAAAAAATTATAATTCTTAGACTTTTTTGCTTGTCACTACATCAATAATTAACTTTAAAAAGGTTGTTTGAAAATATGCTTTAAGGAAGCATTTAATAATTCAAAGGAATCTTAACTTGAAACAGGTCATATGAAAAAGAATAAAAACAAACCCTATGTAATCTTATCTGGCTGACTCTGTTACACATTTAAAAGGAATAAGACATGCAGAATATAATTGATTGTGTATTTGTATTAGCACCGAACTATATCCCATTGTATCATTGCTACTAAATAATAACATTTAAACTTAAGCGGACTGCATCATTGATAAGCTAGTGATACGTTTCAGGCATAAGCTCAGGATGGCTCTTCGTCCAGGAATGAACAATCAAGGGAAAAGGAAGAAAAATAATATAACATGGGTAAAAGGAAACACTGTGATAAATGATCCTACTAGGGGCAATCAAATACAAAGACTTGATATCATTAATATTTATAATATAATTAGCAAGACTGTGCCTAAGCAGTGTTATTAGTGTAACTAATTATGTTATCATAAACTAAGTTTGCAGTATTGTAGGAATCAGTATTCTTACTTTCATAAATTATTATCAATATTGGATTTCATGTACTTGTGTCTAGTAAATTTAGTTAAGTACTGTAGTTTCATCTCAATTTAAACACCAATATCTAGCTTGCTTGGCAGCAAGTCATCATACACACTTCTGATTCTCTTTCTAAAATAAATTCACTAAAAAGCATGTCCTTACTCTCTATTTCAAACAGAGAAGATAACCTATTGATATGTTCTCATCAATAAAAGTAATGTGTAGGAATGTGTATGTTATAGATGGAGTAAAATGTGACAGCTTAAATCCTGCCTTACAGTTTTAAAAACGTGCAAGAAGCTGTCCAATTTTGTATTGGTATTACCATGAGATGAAATGCAGTTTCTTCAGTTAGACCCTGTGATAAGCTAAATAGCAAATACTGCTGAACATTTGCATTCAAAAAAAAAAGTGAAGATGCTAATTTTGATATGTTGTGGTTTTAGTGCAGTAAATGTAAAAATAAAAAGGATTCATCCTTCTTTTTGTTACAAGATTACTATTATTTTCAAATAGAATCACAAGGATAGGAAGTTCAGGCATTTGACATTTTAATAATAAGGAACTAGGAGAGAATTATTTTCACTAACATCAAGAACCACTTCCTTTCTGATTGTGTACAAATTCGTTGGCCTCTACCAGTTTTAAATAGATTGCAAATTTAGGAGCCGTTCTGTTTCCAGCTAGGTATGCTCATAATTGTATATGTTCTGATTCACAGTGCAATATTGAGTGATAATGTCTCTATTTTTATGTAACGGTGGGCAACTTTATTTAAAATTAATTTTCTATCTTGGTTTCAGTATCAAACAGATACTGAGTGCAGAGTGTTACCACAGGAGAGTGACACAGTGGAGTTTTGTCGTTAAATATTGTAGTATTCGATGACCAGAGTAAACTAAAGATAAATACCTTCTCCTAAATGGTACACCTGACATCAAATTTAAACTGTCTTGCCATGCAGTCACCAGATAAATGACAAACTGAACAGTTATCACTGACAGTTGTTACATTTATCACAATAATTTCCTTCTTAAACAGAAAGAATACTGAAAGTACTGTGCTAAATAGTGTAATATAACAAGCAGTTAAATAGCAAACATAAAATGCTCGGTCCGAGAAAGGGAATCATGTTGATTATTATCTGTTCATCCTTCTGTATTAATGAAACTAATACTTCCATTTGATAATTTATAGCCATTGAAATATCAGAAGCATCATAGCACTAGACAGTATTTTGGAAACTTGAGTGCTGTTTTTGTTTTTCACTGTTCCAGAATCTATTTTTTTTCGTATATAGACCCTAAATTTATCATCTTTGACACAGAGGTAGATATTTTCCAATGTTTTTTTCAGTAGCACTAGCTTTTTCCCTTTTGCTAACACAGCAGTTGCTTACCAGTGTCTAGAATGTGACCTGTAGTACTACGCTGACTGTAGTAGCAGTGAGATTTCCACTTAGAAATGCTAGCCACAGTTGTGGCTTCCAGTCACTGGGTGATACAGTTTTCCATAGCTTCACCAATTTTACTCATTCTTTCCTGTGGTTGTAGTCTTATCCGTGACAGCTCCAAAAATAGTCCTAGCACAGATGCTGCATCAGGCTCACAAAGATGGCCAAAGCCAGTCTTCTGGGCTTCCTTCCTCATTGCTTTTTTGATGGCTTATTTAGTTGGCATTTGCTTTTTTTTCTGTGGGAGAACTTGACATTTGAAGCCTTGGCACAGGTGACTGTCATTAATATCAACTCTGAATCACCTTTGCATTAAATGCATGGAATAAAACTTGTCAGCTTGTTTCGGCTTTAATCTCAGTTTGCAAATCTTTGACACTGAGATGAGAGAATGGCAAGGTAATGATGACACCACACTGCTTCTCACTGACTCCTTCAAGGAAAAACTTTTGTAAAAGCACACTTACCTCAGCATGAATTTAGGACTGAGATCAAGCGCATGATGCAGTCAGGCAGACAGTTAAGATGTAGTGCACACTCTTACAACCCAAAGTTATTAGGATGACTGCATAAAAGAGAGGAAGGGCATAGTTAAGTCTCCTTACAATCCAGAATTAACAGAATTATGTTTTAAAATAATATTCTAATTTTCTCAGGAGGATACATGACCAGGAGTGATAAAGATGACTGTTCTCACTAGGTCTCTGGGTAAGGTACAGTATTCCCCAGAGGTGCAATTTGATCTCCTGTGTGTCTCACTGTCTCACCTTGTCTGTTTGTTACAGGACTCTTTTATTAGTTGCTCACTGATCTTAATCCAGAGAGCTGAAGTGATTATGTCCCAGAAATGCGATGGTGTCAGCTGGTGATCACAGAAGTGGTGCAGTGTGTCGCTGTATAAACTTCCACCTAATGTCAGCTATAAAAATCATACTTAATGCAGTGGCCACTATACATGTCAGGGAACTAAACATCAAAAATATGGCGATATATTCAGTTGGTAGATGTGGGTTTATAGGAAGAGATAAATATGGATGGTTCATACCTTGCTTTCAGCACCAGTTTTCCAAAAAGTGACGTTCGTTTGATCATGTCTAAAAGATAAAAAACTAAAAATAAGAAAAAATAATTTAAGCGTCTTGATTCCAGAAATATGCAAAATACAAACAAAACTGTTTTAATAGTGGATAATTCTCAACTGGTAAGGTTGTGCTGTATTAAAAATATTAAAACTGTATGTGATAAAAACACATTTATAAACAGTGGCTTTTTTCAGCAGACAGAGAAAGAGAATGATGCTGTACATGCACAGCGTGTGAACTTCAGTGAAAATTCATCACCTTAGATTTAGCAAGCTGCTGATTTTCATCTTTGAATGGACTTCCCATTGAAACAGACTTCCTATTAAGACTAAAATACTCATTTCCTTCAAGTATCTATGGGTACTGAAAGCTGAGTCTTCTGAACAATACAAATTTGCTAAATCCTAACTGTATTGCAGTCAAATCTAAATAGCCGTTTATATGGAAGAGAAAAAAAACCCTTGCTATACCAACTAGATTTCATACCAAATATTAAATCAACTCTTAAATAAATAAATTAAATGTGAACTCCCAGCCATGCACAAAGTTTTGGCTGCCTTCAGATTCTTCAAGATCTCTGACTGCCTTCACTGAGCAGAGGTTTACACCCTTCATTTTTGGAAGTGCTCCTTGTTCTTTGGGAAGGCAAATTGGTCCAGTATAGTAAAGAACTGTCCTCTTTTTTCCAACACTGCATAAAAAAGACAGAACAAATGGTGTTTGTGGCTATGTCCAGAAATACAGGCCATTTCATCATATGTTGGTATAGAGATTGCAGTTAAAAAATAACATTGATAAAGAAACTCTTTTTCCCATATTGCCATCAACAGTTCTGAAGAAGAGTCAGAGGGGGGGGAAATAGATTTAGGATGTGGTGGGTTGACCCTGGCTGAACGCCAGGTACCCACCAAAGCCACTCTGTCATTCCCCTCTGCAATTGGACAGGAGACAAAAAATATAATGAAAGGCTCATGAATTGAGATAAGGACCGGGAGAGATAACTCACTGATTACCACGACAGGCAAAATAGACTCAGTTTGGGGATATTAATTGCATTTATTACCAATCAAAATCAGACCAGAATAATGAGAAGTAAAACAAATTTTAAAAACACCTTCTCCTTACCCCCCTCCTTCTTAGTTTTACCTCCTCGTCCCCGGTGGTGCAGGGAGTCAGGGAAAGAGGGTTACAGTCAGTTCATTACACATCATTTCTGCCACTGCTCAGGGAGAAGAGTTCTTCCCCTGCTCCAGTGTGAGGTCCCTCCCACAGGAGATAGTTCTCCATGAACTTCTCCAGCATGAGTCCTTCCCATGGGCTACAGTTCTTCATGAACTGCTCCATTGTGGGTCCCTTTCATGGGGTGCAGTCCTTGAAGAACAGGCTGCCCCAGCATGGGTCCCCCACAGGGTCTGAGGTCCTACCAGGAAACCTGCTCCAGCATGATCTTCTCTCTCCATGGGTCCACAGGTCTCTGCCAGGAGCCTGTTTCAGGGCAGGCTTCCCACAGGTTTGCAACCTTCTTTCAGGCATCCACCTGCTCTAGAGTAGGTCTGCTCCACTGGCTGCAGGTGGATCTCTGCACCCCCGTGGACCTCCCATATCACAGGAACTGTGCATCAGCACACTCAAGTTCTTGTTGGGTTGACCAAAAATAAGGTTCCCCCAAAGTGTCTCGACCATCATTTTCAGGCAGATGAAGAAGTAGGTTCTTTCCTTCTGCTCCTCGCTTAGTCTTCACTTCCTTGCTTGATGATGAAAGATCTCCACAGGCATTGTTTCTGGTGAGAGTCTGGTGGTTCTCTGTGGGGCATCACCAGCAGCATTTTGGGGAGCACCAGCGGAGCATTCCTCTGTACCCCACTGTGCAAGTCCTGTTTGGCAGGTTTGCTGCATTGGTGAGCTTCCCAACCTTTTAAGCTGAATTCAATTATGAGCCTGACCAATCTGTAGGAAAAAAGAACCACTCTGACATTAGTGGTTTTTTGACTGTTCTATTATGGAAGTTTATGTAGTGATTACCTACAGTGCTGTTTCTCACACAGAGAGCAGGTTGTTACGTAAAATGTATCTTCTCTAACAGTAGAGCCATTTACAGTAGAAATGTATAAAACAAAAGGAACTAGGATTATTAAAGTGTATTTAAAGTAGTTTAATCTTTGTGGGTTTTATATGTACTGTATGCTAAATTTGCTTCGAGCATGGAGTTTAAAGTTTCAGATGCACAGCCAGTAAATGTGGCTATTAAGAAGCCATGTATTCCTGTTAACTCCTTGGCTGTGGCGGTTTTAATGCGTTCACTGCTGGCAGTGGACATCAAGCCAGGAAAATCCAACTCCTGATGCAAAAGGATTTAAAAAAAAAAAAATCCAGGCACTGCCAAAAATACATAATTCTTTTTTTGTACTCTGCAGTTTGTTTTACTTAGGGAAACGGCCTGGTCATACCCTGCAGCATGCATTCATTACAGTGATCTTTGACTGGCAGATGCAGAGTAATAAGATGCATATTTTAGTGCTTATTATAATACCCTGTCCAAAAACAACTTGACAAATTTGTGATTTCGACAGTATCTCATTTTGCTGGCTGCAGTGCTCTGTGATTGCCTAGTACACGTGGCTTCCAGATTATGCATACCACCAATACTGCTCATTAAAATGGCCACAGTTCACCAGTTTCGGTAGCTTGGAACGAACTTGGAATGAATTATTATACAACAAAGAGGCTGCTGTCATGCAGAACAAAAGACAAGCAAAAGAGAGCTTCGGCTTAATGAGGCTAAGTGAGTGTCTCCCCTGCATCACCAGCTACTTGACGGCCTTTGAGCATGGATTTTTTTCTCCACAGGCCAAAACCTTTGGTCTATTATTTTGTGTTTATGCACCTTGAGGCTAATATACATTTTAATATGCTGCACATGGAGAAAAAAATCAGCCATTAGATTAGAACATGTGCACTCCCTGTTAAGTTAATGACAGCCGAACATAGAGATAAATTTAGGTTTTCATATTTAATTATAGCACAGTGCAGTACGTTTAGCAAGGATAAATTGCACTATTATTATGCTTCATTTTTTTTGACATCTTTTCATATTAACCATGCACACTTACCCCCACTTCCTCCCCGGTGTCACACATAATGTCTCTGTGCATCATCCTTCTCTAACACCATTAATTTTTTATTCTGTACAGTTGTATATGTATTGTTGTATTTGTTACTTAGGGTTAGCTTGCTAGTTGGATAAAACCATTCAAAACAACCTTTGTGTTAGGTGATCTACATAGGCAGTAATGACAGAAAAAAAAAAAACACCATAAAAAGAACTGTCTTGTGTGGCCAGAAATGGCTCCTCACATCTGCTCCCAGAGCAGAGTTTCCAACCCTTCTCCTCTGGATGCTTTCAGCACAACATGCACTGTCTGTGACTCCTTTCTCAAGGAATTGAATTGGAAAAACCAGAGAAATAATATGTGGATGGTTAAATTAGTTCTAAAGTATTTTGTAGTTGGATAATATTAATGTGGACAACGGTGATATTAATATAAAATGTCTCTATAACTGTGTAGGAACTAAACCACACCTAATGTTCTAGGTGGTGTGTGCTATTTGTTGGCGCTTTGTACATGTGTTATCTTTGTCAGAGCTGTTGCTGCAAGAATAGCATGAGGAATTAGGTTAGATATCAGCCTTATAGAAGACAATATGAATTTAAACATAGAGGCAAGCTGGCATGCAAGTCAGTCTTTCTACGTTCCTATCAAGTTTAATGGGAGTATTTGACAATTTTTGTGCTACCATGTGATGGTAGCACATGGTGGTGGTGATGTTGGACTATTTGTTAGTACCTGAGAGAGCTCTCAGATTTGCTTTCAGCTCTGGTCTGAGCTATTCCGGTAGCTGTGGTTTGTGAAAAATATATTTGCATGCTTCACGAAATTAAGGAAATACTGGTATTTTCCAAAGTGGATTAGAGCAGGTAATAACTCACAGGAAGAAGATTTTCCTCCTCCTGCTGTGTATATAAACAAGCAGAAGATATTATGCTACAGGCTTATTCCTAGATTATTTCTTATTGGATAGTTGTTTCGTGACAAAAGACACTGTGGCTTGATGACCAGAGGGTCATGACAGGAATAATAATCACCATATGAAAGGGTGTCTGGATCTTGGTGATAAAGCATTCCTCATCACAATCAGTCAGCACTTGCTGGTGCAAGAATTTTCCTCAATGGCAGAGATCAACTCTTTCATATTCATTGAGAGCAAATCAGTCTCTCTTTCCCTCTCCCTCTCCCCCCTCTTCCTCCAACCTTCAGTTCTGTACCAGCTTTTACTGCGAAAGAGTATTTTCTTTGTCAGGTGAAAGTCACAGAGTTTGAGGATGTTTAGGGTGCTGCAGTATTTGCGGGATTGGTATTAGTTGCAGAGCCTTACTCTTTGTGTCCTCACAGAGTAAAGCTCTGGTCAGCAGTGATTGATAGCTAATTGTCCACAGTTCAAGCACTAGAAAATGGGTCGGCAATTAATTTATGTGTGCAAAACTCTTCTCCCTGATTTTGTAAGTGCAGATTTTGATGCAAATTGCATCTGTGAAAGCAAGGTTGTGGCTTTCAAAATGTAAGCTATAATTACTAGTCTGAGAACCTGATGATACAAAATTCTTTCTCTAGAATCTATCCCTAGTGAGAGAAGACATTTATTAACAATATTGTGTATTTCTAAGCAGTAATTCTAACCATTTTTTGTTCATTAAGCACTGGTAAAATACTTGATATTACACAAGATGTAGTCTTATGGAGTTGCAGGTTGTGTCCTACAGACATTCCAGATGGCTTAGAAACATCTATGCAATCAGAAAGGCCTCTTCTGTATCTACAGGTAGCTATTATTTGTAAAAACTGATTTTATTTGTGTGTTCCCGTTTTGTTTTTGGTACTAGTCACAGGCACACATACTGATGTGTAAGAAAAGACTTGGATTTTTTGCTTGTGAAAGCTAAAAGCTTTAAGCTTTTCATCTAATAAAGC